CCCCCAGGCTCCCACCCTCTCATGCACACTTGTTTCCAGCTATTTGCTGTTAAATGCATTTTCCAAGATATTTTCTAATCACCCTTCTAAACAGAAGCAGGTTGTTATGAGCACAGACAGATGATACCTTGGCGCATGGAACCAGTTCTGCCCTGCAAATGCCAAGAGGGAGGTCAGCCTGTTGCATACCCCCACACAGGCATGTGCAGCCCTGACCCTTCCTGAGCCAACAATGGCATCGTGTGGGCAGACCTGCTGCCTGCACGGATGCGTTGCTGCTAATGGGTATTCCCAAGGCGTGAGGTTGTTATTTGCATTTTCTCGTTGTCATGAACACCCAATGTTCTGAATATTAATGAAACAATTCGCAGCCTCCTTTGCAGGCTTAAAATATTCAGCATCAGGCATAGTGTTTTGTCCCCATTTCAGCCAAGTTTAATTTCTCTTAACCAGCTTTGTTGTTGTAAAGTAAAATTAATGTATAATTTCAGTGTTTATATCTCAATTCTCAGCAATTCACGACAGATTGCAAGTGAATATGATTTGTTCGTTAACACCTAATGGGCTGAAATAATTTATTGCAGAGACATTTCCAGGAAAATGAAGCCACTTGAGCAAGAGCAAAGCAGGAAATGTTACTTGTTTATCTAATAAACTACCCTAGGGTGAGTGAGTACATTAGCATGGCACAAACTTTGTGACTTATTTATCATCACTATTTATTATTAAAACTTTATCTGCTTCAACTTAGTGAATGGCTGCCTTGGGATACACCGCTTGCAGCAACAACAACAAAATAAAGTTTATGCAATTTGCATAATACTGTACAAAGAATATTAGCTTAGAACAATATGAATCCCTGGATCATTTGCACAGCCCTTTGGTGTTTAATGTTGGTAAATATTTAAATAACGGCAAGCCTGTATAATTATAAAGATTTCTCTTTCTAATCTGCTCAGGATGTACAGCTGTTGTAAATCACCACAATCATGTGATTTGACCGCGAGAATGCTAGGGATGACGAAGAAGCACTTGTTGCTTATGCTGGCAAAGATGATGGAGACAGAAGCACCCGCAGAAGGAGTCTAAGATGCTGAGGTCTTTCCTCTTTGCTGGTTTATGACAGCATTGGTGTTTCACATGAACTGGCTTCTGCATAGACTAGGCATGCAGGAGATGGGTCTCTGGAGTTCCAGTTCCTCTTTCAGGAACAGAGTATTTGCATATTAAGAAAAATTGTGAGTCATGACCTTGGGCTTTTGCACATGCTATTTTATCTCTGGGTCATTCTCCCTATGTGTCACCTGCTTACCTCCTAGTTGTGGCTCACTCATCCTTCTGACCTCAGTGTAAACCCCTGCATTCTTTGTGATGCCCACTGGCCCTGGATGGGTCTAGCTTGCTCTCCCTGTTAAGCACCTTCCTGATGCTTTGCATTGCTCTCCCACAGCTGAGTCACTCAAATGTCTTTTTGCTCCTCTGGACTCTGAGCCCCATGAAGTGGGGGGATGTGTCTATGTTAGTCAGTGTGGCAAATGGTAAACCCTGAATGCCAGTTTAATTGAATTAAAAAATGAATAAGTGAATGCCTATAGTAATCCATTTAAAGAAATGTCTACATAAGCCAGCATCGCAGGCTATGTTAACTTTTTATATTAGACACTTTAAAAATGAATGCTGGTCAGGTGTGATGGCTCAAGCTTGTAATCCCAGCACTTTGGCAGGCTGAGGTGGGTGGATCACCTGAGGCCAGGAGTTCAAGACCAGCCTGGCCAACATGGTGAAACCCCATCTTTACTAAAAATACAAAAAGCTAGCCTGCTGTGGTGGTGCATGCCTGTAGTCCTAGCTATGTGGGAGGCTGAGGCACTAGAATCACTTGAACCTGGGAGGTGGAGGTTGCAGTGAGCTAAGATTGTGCCATTGTACTCCAGTCTGGGCAACAGACTGAGTTTCTGCCTCAAAAAGAGGAAAATAAAAATAAAAATAATGCTAATATGGTAACGCCTGATGTTGGTGAGAGTGCGGATGTGGGAACTCTGAAATACTTCACAAGAACACTTTAGCTGCATGAGGCAAAAGGCTTAAAGTGATTATTTGCCTTTATTTTCATTTTTGGCTCAACAAATACATTTGTGGGAATTTGCTCTAAAGCAGTAATTTGGGAATGTGCGAACATATTTGGTCCCAAGGATATTCATCACAATGTTGTTTAAAATTGTGAGATATTGTAAACAACGTAAATGGTCATCGGCAGAGAATTAGCTGAGAGAGTTGTCATCTATCTAAATGATAGAATACTATGAAGGGATTAAAATAATGATTTAGAAATATGTTGATGACATGGGAAGAGGTTTATGCTAGTCTCTGGGGTGAATAAAGCAAATATAAAGCCTTATAAAACTATGATTTCATTTTTTGAAATAACATTTATGTAGGCAAATGATTAGAAACACATATATTGAAATGTTAAGTCATTTTCTGTCGTTTGGCATGATTTAGTTTCTAATGTGATTGTTTTTCAAAATCAAAGGCAAAATGAGACAAATAAACTTATGCATTGAGTTGTTGGCTTAACCCCCACAGAGGGACATCAAGTTAAGCTACTATAAAAAACAGTCACTTGGCTGCACATTTTAATTGAATATATGTTAAAGATGTAAATAACATCAAAGACATTTTCTTTTCAGTAATTATATTGTTAATAGTAACTTTGGTATTTTGTTTGGAAGCTACTTAAGTAAATTAAGAAATCAAATAATAAATTATGTTAACATCATCAATTATGCTAACATCATGAAGAAATAATATATTCAGCTGGAGAAAAATATAAAAGAATTTAAATAAAAACCCTGCAACCTTAAATTTGAATTGAAAATATCAGCATAGATGCCCAATGTACTTTCACTTAAAAGAGACATTTTCGAACTCTTTCAACTGAACAAACCCCGAAAGAATGTAACTAGTAGCAATGGATGCACTTAGCATCTGTACTGTGACTGCTGAGCACCTTATCCACTAAAACAAAGCAGAAATTCTTAGAGAAATGACTGACTCCTGATCTGGGGCAGGAAATATATGAGAAGATCCCAGATCATCTTATTCAACCAAAGGAAGCAGGAAAAAAGGTTGCTGGATCTCCTCGGAGGACTCAGTAGCTGACCTAAATAGGATCCCACTGGCCAGAGGTGGCACATTCTGGGCTTCTGTAAGAATAACAAGGAGGAATGGAAACACATCATCTGTCTTCAAATCTATGCATAAAACGCAGAGCAACAGACAACAGCAGAGCAAGACACGTCAACCGTGTCGAACTCCACAGGTGAAACACAAAACCAGCGCAGAAGCAGCAGCAAATCAACACCACTGCAAAATGGATTGAAAGAATGACAGGAAACCAATTCACAATTTTGAAAGCCAGCAAATAAAGAGAAAACATTGAGCATTTTTCCTGCCTTCATTTTACAACTGTACCTCAGAGTAACACAGTGGTTTATTTGGGAACATTTCTCTTCCTATGGAAGAGTTCCAGCTCAATAATAATGATGGATGATAGAATTAGAATATCATACTTTTTCAGCCTCAGAGGCAATAATCGAACCATGCTGTCATCCCCGATGACTGTTGGCATCACAAAGAAGAGCAGCAGCCTGACACTGTGTCTCTAGATGGAAAGTACATGATACCACTTAGGGGCTTTCCTGAAAAATATTGAACCTGAAGACTGGGGATAGAGCAGTATGTTAAAAGACACCACACAGTTGTAATCAGCAAATTTTACAACGTGAGAGGCCCTATGCCATCACTGAAAAATAAATTGCAAAGCATTAAAAAGAGAAAAGAAAGAACCTACAGACAGAGATTGAAGGGTTATATTAGGCAACTGCAAGATGAGGCCTTGTTTGGATCCTGACTTGAATAAGCCAACCATATATGTAAACACATACACAATATGTGTAAAAATAAATATTATATATATATACACACATTATGTATAATATATAGACACGATATATGCATACACTATGTAATTTATATATACACACTATAAAATATAAACACAACTACATATACACACTGTATATATAACAGATATACACAAATATATGTATACACATTATATCAAATGAATGCTAATGCCTACTGTTGGTGAGAGTTTAGAGATGTTTTACACTATATAAAAAATATACAACTCTATATATATACACACACACACACATATGCAATCAGGGAAACATTGATATTCCCTGGATATTGGTTATAAGAAGATGTTATTGTCATATGTTATGCTGAGAATGGTATTGTGGTCATTTATTTAAAGAAATCTTATATTTTAGAGACACATGTGAATTATTTCAAAAAAATAAAAATAAATAAGCTCACCAGAACATGTGACAGATGTAGCCTCCTTTGACTTTCACTAATTTTTTAGGTCCTTGAGACTGTTCAGTTTTGAAGACTCAAGATGAAATTTAATTATTTTCAGTGCTCAGAAATTTTCTATAATTTTATTGGCCCTTGCCACAACTTTATTGTTTCTCATTTAGTAATTCCCTTGGGTATATGAGGTAGCCTCGACTGGCTCTATATTTCTTTCTTTTTTTTTTTTTTT